GAAACTTATTGAGGTATTTCGTCAGATGAATTTCGAGCAATTTTTCGAATCTCTTACTGAGAAATGGTATAATGCAAATGGGTCGATAGTTGGACATCAGTGTATGGTCACCTTTCTTAAAAACGGGGACGACTCTGCTACCCTTCAATTCTGCAGGAAAGATGCCGCCGGTTATCTTGCCATATGGCTTCAGCAGTGTCGTGTTCGGAGAGGGGTTCATTCGCGACAGTGTGCTGTCAGAAGGACGCTAGCTTTGCGCAGGAAATTACGTTTAAGGTGTAAAGGAAGCTGTGCGGCAGCAACTCGCATTCCGAGATTGCAGTAAAATGCCGCTTGAAATATACACAAGCATCGTGTCACGTGAAAGTACAGGTAAGTGTGTGTTGAAAATGCAAATGAAAAAGCTTGCCTTAGTCTGTGCTCTCTGCACGTTATTTTGTCGCTTTCAATGATGAATATCTTCGGAGGATGCGTTCTGCCAAGTGGTCGCTTTTCGGAAGAATCATGACGTGTAATCGATTGTTGGAGCTTTCACGGCGTGTTAACGCGCAGGTGAGATGCCATTTCGTTTGGCGCTTTCATTTTTGACGTTTTGAAAAATGCTAGGAGCAGAATACTTGTGCTTATTCAGTAGTTCAAATTTTTGTAGTACGTACACTCACTGATGAGAACCCATTTTTCATCGCGCTTTTTATTGTGGTGTTATAAACAGTGTATGAGTGCTCAAAGCAGAACAATTTTACACAACCGGCAGTTCGAGCTCTCGTAGCGTGTAAACGCACAGGTGAGAAGTCCTTTGGTTTGGTATTTTATGAATTTTTAAAATTTATTTTCAATATTGGTAATCCTATCGGGATGTTACAGGATTAGACAGTTTAGAATACAGAAAAAGTAAACGAGAACAGCATGAGAGTAAACCAACAGCACGCCATAAACAGCTCAGTGCAGAAAAAAAAATTCAGGTATGCACGGCGTGAAAAACATAATTACAAAACAACAGCACTGCAGTTATACATGGGAATATCGATATAAGCACCCAGCAACTCCAGTTTTTCGTCAAAACTGTCGAAAGATATCACACCATCAAATACTTCCGGACTTGGTTTATTCCAGCCTTCAATTGTCTTCACCAAGAAAGATTGCTTGCAAACATCAACTTTGGATACGTAGGGTCGCACAGCATAAAGGGGGGGGGGGGGGGGACCGAGGTGATACTGTGCCTGGAGGCCGTAAGTAGAGTCTAGGATCAATGTTTAGCATACCATGATACAGTTGATAAAAAAATTAGTCTTGCTTTTTTTTCTGCGTGAAGCTAAACTTGCAAGGTTTGCCTTATTATTCAATGCAGTGGCGGATTCAGTCCTTCTGTACTTGGAAAAAATAGAGCTTGTTTCAAGACGCTGCACTCGCTCGATCTTATTTATTAGAGTTAGTCGGTACAGATTCCACACTATACACGCGTGCTCCAGGGTGGGTCGAACAACCGTATTGTAAGCCTTAAGCTTTACATCAGGAGATGTCTGTTTTAGTTTGCGCCATATTTCCAGCTTTCGCTGAGCTGATCTGAAAATGCTGGCCACATGCTCACTCCAACTTAAGTTATGCGTGATAGTAACGCCTGAGTACTTCATCTTCATTAGACGCTGAATTTCTGTACTCCCGATTTTGTAAGTAAAATGTGATGGTGATTGCTTTTGCTTTGTTGTGACACTCATGCAGACTGATTTTTCGAAGTTAATTTCCGTGTCATATGCTACGCACCAATCGTATATTTTATTCATTGAGTCATTTAACAATGTTTGTTCATGGGTACTCTTAACATGGCAAATTAGCAGACAATGGTCTGCAAAAAGGTGAACTTCAATCTGTGTATCCACATTAACAGCAATATCATTGATATAAAGCAAAAATAACAGGGGTCCTATCAGATACCCTAGGGGCACACTCCAGAATTGAAAGGCATGCAAGCCGAGTATTCCTCGGCGATTTCCACAAATATGCGCCTATTACACAAATACGCCTCTATCCAATTTATGACCATGGGGCATATGCCATCCGTTTTCAGTTACCGTATCAGTTTCCCATGGTAGAGTTTATCAAACGCCTTACAGAAGTCTAAGGCAACAACATCAACTTGTTCTTTCTGGTTTAGACCATTTGCAAAATACTATATTGTTTCAAAGAGTTGTGTAACTGTCGATAGGCGTTTGCAAAAACCATGGTGCTTGAAATAATAAAGAATGAAGAAGTCTGGACCAAATATTTGCTAATGATATGTTCAAGTAGCTTACATGCAGTGCATGTCATGGAGATAGGACGGTAAATAATTACTTTTAGTTGTCTACAGCTTTAAATATCGGAACAATGCGGCTTATCAACCAGTCATCCGGTAAGGTGCACCGTAAAAACTGTCCGTTAGAGGCACGGCGAAGATTGACGTAAAGCTCACGGGTGTCTTTCAGTTTGTAGGAAGAAGAAGAATATGGCCATGGTTGCCAACAGACGTAGTGCTGTTATTGTAGGTACGGAGAGAATGTCCTACTTCAGTGGATCTTTTGGAAAAGTTTAGAATTTGGCTGCTCTGATTAGTTAATTTTTAGCCGAAATGCCACTACCAGACCATTTTTTGGGGGGCACGATGTGTTGACAGAAAGCCTGGGTGCGTGTAACTATCTTTCGTTTTTTTTCATAGTTCTCCTTTAATTGTTTTACTGTGATATGAATACTCTTGACGTGTTTGCGATGTCGGCATCGCCGTCACGCAACATATAATGTCCAAATCGATAACAGCCACCTGGAAATCGTGTGTTCTAGCCGCGGGCAAATGAACGCGAGCGAGCACTACGAACGCGGCTGAAGCAGAGGGGAAGCAAGCCGACCCATCTCAGTCGCACGAATGGCGCATGCGATAACATCACCCGCGTGCGAGGCATGTCGTCGATTTATACTCAGGCAGAGAGGCAACGCCCTGTCTGTCTTGAGGAATGCCGGGGCCACGGGGAACGAGAGGGAAGCTGCCATATAACCAAATGGGAAGATAGCCGCCAATTAGAAAATTCGAAAATTATTTTCTTCCATGAAACAAAAATTGTAATGATAAATCTTGGGATATCAATAGAACTGCTCACTTGCTTTCCAGTTGGGTGTAAATGTTATCTTTATTTAGACCACCACGTGGTGCAAATTTGCCTCAAAGTGGACAGAGCTGATGATTTGAGGAAATTTGTGATTTTTTTCCGTTAGTTTTTCGACTTGAGGGGTGCAAAGGTAATTTTTTTGCAAAATATACCTTCTATAAAGCAATTATTAATTTCTCAGATATTCGTTAACATAGTAGTAATGCAATATAAAAACTGCAAGCATAACCCCTTTTGGCTACATTCTTGTAGTGTATGTGGCTAAACAATTGCACTAATGATGATTAGCTTAAAACACCTTGCACAGTCACCATTAATTGTTATTTAAACTAAGCTTGGTATTGAATGAGGAAGTGACACTTCAAAAAGTACATTTTTTTTCACGAACAACAGCCACACGACAATTGGATAAACTCAAAAAGCACTCACGTGACCACAATTTTTCTTCCTGAAATATTCTAGTGATTCACTGCTTTGAATGCAGTAAATCAGCAGGGTATTTCTTCAAATCGATTTGAGGTGGTCGCCGAAAAAGCTGGTATGTTTGGCGTCAAATGACCCCACTACGAACGGCACTGGCAGCGAGTAATGCTCCCAGCTTGCAGCTAAATCGTCAGCGCTTTTGTGTAAGGAAAGGGAAGGATGAAAGGAGAGGTGAAAAAAGGGAAGAGAAGGGTCTGAACACCTGCACCCTGCCTGCGCCTCGGAAAATGTGACGCCAAGGGCCACGTTCTGTGGCCGCGCGATGACAATCTACCAAAAACAAAACCAAATTACTCAAAAATACGTGAACTTTGTTTAGCGGAACATGCACGCCTTCCTAACAGAACTTACGTGTTTTCGTCAATTGTTCATAATTTTTATTCATTATCTCTTTAAATGGCAGATAGTGAATTTTCTAGAGACCACTACCACACAGAGTCCCTCATAATAGAAGAGGGGTGTTGGGACGCAAGTATTCCTCGTTTTCTTCTTTCTTTTCGAGGATTACACTCCACGCGCATTACCCTCCCCCCTTTTTTGGGCCCGAACACACAGCAGGAACGCTTGTTTGATATAATTGATAATGCGGCACAGCGGCATTGTCGTAAGCGGGTTGTTTTGCCGAAGAGAGCATATAAACATTCGTGGTTCCTTCTCGTCATCATCACTGATATGTCGTTGAAACCAGTATCGATGTAACTGTGAGTTCAACACGTTGTTATGGGCTTGCGGGAATTTTCGAATTATTGTGATTCCTCTGATGTGAAAATTCATATGTCCTATCATCAAGCATTTCAGGGTTGTCAGATTGCGTGTACAACAACAAATAAAAAACCAATTGCGTGAAATAACAGAGCTGGTGAACAATCTTTTTTTATTCTCGGTAAGGAAGTTTTTTCTTTCTGTTTTATTCTCTTCCACATAAAGAAAGTGGTCGGAATTGCAGGCAAAAAAATAGCGTATCAGTGCTTTGCACAACTGAATGCGTGAGTTCATCTCGTCAATCAAACAGTACGTACGTATAATTTCATGGTGTACTTAAAATGTTTTTGCATGCGAAACTTAACTACGACAGGCTCACCATTTCTACGAACTGTCTTATTTTCAAGTACACAGGCTATTGTACTGCAGTTGAGGTGTAGCGAATACAGCGAGCATATACCGCAACCGTAAAGCATGGTTTTAATACTGTTTCAACAAGAAACTCATCCGAGCATGGGCCCCTTCGCGACACCAGAACACAGCCGCGCGCGCCGGCTCACGATAACATCTCCCCGACGTGGTCACGTGATGTATGTACGCGGCGCATCATGCAAGAAAAATTCCACGACGCGGCGCACGCAAGGACGCGCATGCGCGGCTCTTGCCAGCCAACATGGACGCTTGTCATGGTGGAACGCCGCGTTCGAGGACTCGTTAGAAACGACCATGTTGAACGGCGATTTGCGACACCAAGACGTGTACTCGTTGTCCTATTCTGGTCAGCTAACCGGTGGTTGCGTGAAGTCGTACAATATGCCACCAGAAGTTTGCGCAAGGTGTCGTTAACTTCACTACTTCGAGTCACCGGTGTGTCGGAATTTTCCCGCCAAGCTGACAGGCGAACAAGTTTTGTGGATTTTGCTATCAGGTAAGTCCTATGCTATATTACGGCTCTCATGAATTTTCCCCGCCGTCGACCTCTTCGGCTGCCGACAAAATGATCATGCCTTGAATGTTTACGCTGCTTCGAAGTCGCACAGAGGCTTACTCGAAAGCGGTTGTTTTTGTTTTTTTTGCGCGCGGCTTCGGCGTACTTGCGAACGCTGTGCAACGGTGTCGCGTGCCCCTGACCATGAAGTTCGTTACCAGGGGTTTAGCGGTGTGGGCTTCATAGCTGCTGTCACGTGTCGTGTTACAGTATGCATTGCGTTATAGTTGACAAAAATTTCTCCACGTCCCGGGTGAGTGACCGACCAAACTGCGCAACCCATCCTTTTCATTGCAGTTGAGTTACCAGGCGACACGACCAAAGTTCAGTTGGCGTGTTCCATGTAGATAAACAAGCCACTTTGATTAGCAGGAAAGTGACAGATTGGCTGTATCTGGTTGCAATAATGCACTTTTAAATATTAGCGTGGCATATTCTGCCGGCAGCGTTTATTTTATCGTTTCTAGGTCTTGTGCCGGCAGCGGTTGCTCAAGTTACGTCCAGCTTGTTGTCTTTTTAGCTTTCGTTATTTTCGCAGTGTCCGTTAGTGATATCCTCGTCTCAGTTGGGTGCCAGTGACCTATGCTGTCGCGCATCGCTGCTCTTGCTATTTGGCTATCAGAAAAAAACATTAAAAAACAAAACGGGAACACCATACAGAAGAGATCGCCTATGGGAGGAACCCGGAGGGATGCACAGCGCGTTAGCACGGGGGCTTCCCAAGCTCATAGGGCGAGAAGGGACGAAGAAGCTGCCTTCGCTTTAACGGTTTGGCAAGAGCGCCGGCACATAAACTCCGAGTGGTATTGTCCCCGTTGCCGGGCTATATCTATTTCCGTCAATGTCTGCACCTTGCGTCCGCAAGTTTTTTGAAGAAAAGCAGCTCACTCGGTTTCTGACAGAAGGGGTTCAAAGTTCATTAAGCAGCTGCAGCCTTTAACTGCAGCTAAATGAAAGACTGTGTAGGTCTCTGAGATATGCCGTTGACATTGCTCTGAATGTTCGCAGTGATATCGCTAGCACTACTTGGTATAATGTAGTATGACTGTTGCTGGTAAACATGTTGTAATACTATATTTTAAAAATATTTTGCCTTTATCTCGATACCAAGCATCATTAAAAAGGTGACACGCGGAAGATTTAACAATAGAAAGGGAACATGAAACTGAAATATACTTGCATTTTTTTATTCAAACACTTTGGTACTTAGCATTAGTCGCAGGCGACTAATAAATGACTTCATTTGGTGCTGTCACTTGGAGTTGAAGCCAGTGGTGCTTGTTGGAATGGGTATACTTAAATTTGCCCAGACCACTATCCTCTCTGTGCAACTTCACGAAATTTCGGAAGCACGAGCTGGACCGCGAAGCGACTGCAATACGTTGTTGTTTCACATTGGCTTAATAGTGTGCAAGTGTTTGTAAAATTTAGCACTTTGCGTACTTTTTATAGATGGCACAGAATATATACGATAAAATCCCTATGAGTGTTTCTGCTTTCTTTAGAGGATTTCAGATAAGCGGCCACTTGTCTCCTCTAACCATTTTCACTCATTTATAGTGTTTATGCGCCAAACTAAAGCAGTTAATGCATGCGTGTGTAGCCTATGAAGAGCAATGCTGCACTACCCCTCCCCCTTCTCTATCTCCAAAGGACGAAATGCTGCTGCCATTCTTGCTTTGTTTTTGTTTGAATGCCCTAAGTTTTTTGCTGTGTACTACAGGTAGCAAACAAAAGTGTCCTGACAAACTGTGCAATGCTGACCACATGGGGAGGGAAGCACCCCATAAGAGGTGCTTATTCAGCATCTGTGGCTAACTCAAAGGTAATGTACAAAGTTCCATTTAATGAAGAAGAGTGTCGTTTTGAGCTAGTCATGTCGAAGTGAAAATATTGCAAAATAAGTGAGGGTATACAGAGTAACATCAGGATGTATGCTACCTACCAACTTAAAATTATTCATGCCAAAGTGTTAATTAGGTGCAAGTTTTTTTTTTGAGGGAGAAGTGTAATGGTTTCCACGAATGAGCATAGTTGGAAATTGCTGCACAACCAGTCACTGTGCTTTTTCCGCTCATAAAAATTTAGCCCTTATTCTTGTGACTTCCCAATGACATAATATTGCATCACATAAACAACAGTAGAAAGGATCTTGCTAGCTATAATATGAAAATATTGTTATCATAGTTTTTAGTTTTAATAAATCATGCTGTAGAAGAGTACTCCACCTATTTGTCATTATAACGAGTGCGTTTCGTCTGGAAACGTGACTTGGTTTTGCAAAGGGTTGCCTTTCTGTAGAATGGGGTACTGGCAAGTGAAATTTCACAAAAACTGTAAAACTTTATTGTTTCTTGCAGCATACCATTGTTATCTTTCTTGTAAATGCACGCATAGTGTGAGAATAGTGACCGCTTTGAAATAATCAACCTTATCACTGCAACGTCTTGGACTGTCTTTACTGTATGCGATTTGTTTCCTCCAAAGATAAACCTAGTTTTTACCAGTTTTCATGGTCAATTGGTAATTTTTCTGTGTACGTTTGCAAGCACACTTTCACTTATGATGCTTAACAACAAGCTTGAGTGATGTGGCTGATTCTCGCCTATGAACTTTATAGAATACGTAAAATGGAGTCTTCTACATGGCGCAATTATTAGCTATTGTGTGCATGTTCTATTATTTAGTTACAAAAATAGAGAATGCAGCTGGTAGCATTGAATACTGTTTTCAGACGCTTGTATACACTGCGAAACCTTGCTGGTGCCAAACTTTGTCATGGGTGTACGGTGAAGCGACTGCATTATAGCTAGCAAGACTGCATTGTTACAGCTAATTGCACAATGGAGCATTTTTCAGCTGCTCATATACTTCGAGCAGATGTCGATCACGTTCACTGTCGTACGACACAGGCACAAAATTCATGCATGTGCATCCTGCATACCAGGAACTTTATGTGAAGCAACATGATGCTGTGATGGGGGCAGCTAAGTGAGAACTGGGTTTTTTCTGTCTGTCAGTATCATTACACAGGTTTCTAAATGCACTCGAGTAGATTCAGCAGGCACTTGCAGCTGCAGAGTCAGTAGTAACAGCACATTTCAATAGCAGAATTACCTAGCTGTATATTGCATTTTCCAGAAACTCCATTATTTTGTGACACCTTAACGTCGCAGCTTGCTCACTCATTTCTAGGTGGTGGGACATTACAAAAATTATAATTCGATATATCATGCTAAATTATTGAACTTTTTATATTTTATATTAAATTTATGCTTTTCAACTGCTTTATACCTAACTAAAGCTCAATTTCTGCTGGATTGTCTCATGGGTGAAAACAAGAAACCAGCCCAGGGTAAGCAATAAGGTGCTCTATTATAACAGAAGCGATCGAGTATTGCTGTGCTTCAGTCTATAGCTGCATATTTTTCTTAAAAGCACCAATGTGGATTTCATGTGAGTGTTTACATAGCATAATTGTGTATGCTACTTTTCTTATCGCAGTAAGCACCTCACGAAAGCAGTGCCACAAGGATGTGAGCCGCAAGTTCTTTCAACAAACGGATCAGATGCCTGAGAGCCACAAGCCAGCTGCTTTTGGCCTACACAGACAGTGCAGCCATCGCAGTAAACTTATTGCAAAAGTGTGAGACATTCTTATGTGGCATAGATTAGGCATGGTAATTGTTAGTTTTATAGCTTATAGGCATATGCTTGCGAACGCACTTTCCTGCACAGTGTGTTTTACACTCTCTCAAAGTGCCATTAGGCAGCTTTGGTGCTGTTTTTTTCTTTTTATTACCTTTCATACCATCTTGCTGATTCATACACAGTGCTCCAGCATTCTCATTGGGTGAGTATCACAGGAAGTTCATTTCGAAAACCAATTACGGTGACCCGTTCATGCCTGACCAGTGTACACTTTTCGATAGCGAAGTGATGTGATGTTGCACTGACTGTCGGTTGGTTCTCTCTGCATTATGAAATAGTGTTTTGGCCTTAAAATTATGCCATATTGATTGTGTTGTTGTGAGGCGTGCTGCATATTTGTTTATCTCACCTATGCAGTGTGCCGTTCTCGAGACTAGGAGGTGTGCATCCTGACCCCTGCATACTAATGAATGGACAAAACATAGTCATCGCGAAAGAACAAAAATTCCTCGGTGTAATGTTTGATTCCAAACTCACCTTCATCCAGCACATAAAACAGCTGAAGTTAAAATGTCTCAAGACCATGAACCTTTTAAAGATTTTATTGCATCAGTCGTGGGGGACAGACAGGCACTGTCTCATATCTCTGTTTCGAAGCCTGGTTCTGTCACGCATAGACTATAGATGCATAGTATATCAGTCAGCTTCAAGGACAGCACTGAAAATGTCGGATCCTGTATACCACCTAGGTATCCGGCTGGCACTTGGTGCCTTCCGTACCAGCCCCATTCAAAGCCTTTATGCAGAGTCAGATCAGTGGCCACTAGACTATCAGCGCACGTCTCTAGGAGTCAACTATGCAGTTAAGATCATGTCTCTGAAGCAGCACCCATGTAAAACACTTATGAACGATGTATGTACTACTCAGTTATACCTAAACCGTCCTTCTATAGCCCCACCGTTTCCATTGGCAATAAGACCTGCAGTAGAAAAACTTGCAATTTTTTTCAATGACTTGAAGGAAAGTGACCATGTCGAACACATCCCTCCCTGGCAGCAATGTCCAGTCACTTGTGACTGGCCTTTCAAAGACATCATAAAGGAAAATTGTCCAAGTGCACTTATTGAGCAACATTTCTTGGCCCTTGAACACAAATATCATTCAACCGCGTTCTTCTTTGATGGCTCAAAGTCTGAAACATCTGGATCTTGTGCAGCCTATGGACAAAAGTTCTCGGACACCAGAACCATGCATACACATACCAGCATTTTCACAGCGGAAGCTTATGGTATCCTGCTTAATATACAACACATTAAACAACGCAAGATACAAAAGTCTCTAGTGTACGCAGATTCTTGAAGTGTTGTCAGGGCCCTGTCTTGTGGCAAGTACAGCAAGAAGCCCACTTTCAACAAGCTCCTTAACGAAGTCTATGCAGCCTACAACCTAAAACTTTCTATTGTTATTTGCTGGGTTCCAGGTCATTCTGGAATTGCGGGCAATGAAATAGTGGACAAGAATGCATGAGAAGCCGCTGGTCGGCAAACCATAGATATAACCTCTGTTCCGGGTGTAGATCTAAAACCTGTTGTACGTAGAGGTCTACGCAACCACTGGCAAGCTGAATGGGACAGAGAAGTTGACAACAAACTCCGCCTTGTAAAACCCCAGCTGAGAAAAGTTATCCCCCAAAAACTCAACAGGTTCGCTGAAGTCACTCTAACACGGCTCAGAATAGGCCACACTTATGCCACACATAAACACCTTTTGACAGGCACTGATTCACCTACATGTATACACTGTGAAGAGAGTCTAACCGTTGTGCATGTCCTCATACAATATCCTGTGCTTCACCAAGCACGACTGACCCATTTCAGGGAGCTCTATCGATATCATATCCCACTTCATCCAGCGCTGTTTTTATCACTTGATGCAGTGGTTGACCTTAAGAGACTTCTTCATTATCTTGGGAAAGTGAAGTTTTTAACAATGATATCATTCCATCCTAGGCACCAAACTGCGCCTCAAGTGTGAGGTACCGCCTGGTGCATAAAAAGTATGTCTGAGCCTTCGCAGTTCTTGCTCAGGCAAGGACTTCAGCTGCGAAGGTCTTGGGCCTTGCAGACTAATTTATCAGCACAGACTTCAGCCAACAAAAAGAATTTTTTTTAACAAAGTGACATTCTTTCTAAATGCACTGTGTTTTAAATGGTTCGTAGATATTTGTTTTAATTTTTAATCAAGTTTTAATCATTTGTTCTAATTTTTAAACTAATAACCGAAATGAAACAACACTTGTACTGGCACTCTTTGGCCTTAGATGCCCTTGCGCCAATAAAACTTAACGTAATACTAATAATATCTCACCTATGCCTTGCACAGTACTTCTTCACCATGCTGATGTAGCACAGCGAATAATCAACGAGGCCTTGCTTAAATGATGGCTGCATGTTAATTCCACAATCACTGACGTCATGCTTTATTGCCACGTGACTGTAGTCGTGATGGTAATGTCTGCGTACCTTTCGTCACGATGAGAACGATGGAGAAGCCGAGTTAGAAACTGAAAACAGCTATAATGTCTGTTTTATTGGCTGTGACTTCATCATTTAATCATGTGAACACAATATTCGTGGCAGCATGCTCATAATTTACGATTTTGAAGTTATCAGAAATTTCAGACGGTGGGGTTGTTTAGTACATTTTTACATTTTAATTATGAATGGTTAGTTTATGCACTGCATGGCTTTGTTGATTTATATTTTGCAATGCTCATCTCTGAAATAGTCTGCAGCTTCTGTGAATATTTATGTGTTAATTATACGAAACATTCTGTATGTTCAATATATACCATCAAAAGCAAAAGTTTGCGGGAGTCGAAATGTTCAATCAAGCTAAATTCTCACTTTGTCTAAGAATATAATTTTGAAAGAAATATTCCATACTGCACTTCGCATTCCGAACTATGAAGTCATCATTTTAATTAGAAGCGTTCAGTACCGACGTAGCGGGAATTCGCATTTGTTGGAAATTTAACATCTACCAAGCTTTTCCTGTTGACAGTACTTTCATGGATTTTTTATGGCACTATAGCCATCTCCTTTCTCCGATTTTGCAGCTATATAGCTGGCAGTTCATTGCTTTGCAGCTTTGTTTACCTAATACCTATTCAACCAGCACATCTGAAACGGTGTTATGAGTGTACTTGCATCATTTAGTGTTCAATCTTTCACTAGTCATGGAGATTTTTCGGTCTTTTGGCTGTTACTTTTTGGCAACTTCACTTCTGTTTTCAAAGAAATCTGTAGATATCAATATTGACTCTACTAAGCTTTGGTTCAGAAAGAAAAGCTGAATAGTTACCGCGGTGCATGGCCTGCGCCACAGCGTTATAGGTTACCAGAAATAGATTATAGACCGGATAATATGTGGCTCCTTGCTAATTACGCGTCTTGCTTTTACTTAGAGCTCTTTTCGTAGTTCTAAAATTTGTCTTACCTTGCTTACAGCTATGCCACCATGTGAACAACCCGCGCAATGAGTAGATTTTATCTTTAGGGCAGCAGTTGCAATTTTGATGAAGGCAAAAATGCGACAGGTCTTGATGCTTTTGAATTGACATTCACATTCAGAACCCCATTACTATTGTTACATGAAATGAATAAAATGGTAATTCTAGATTCTATACATATTTTAAATAGGAGAAGTGAGCTACTTAGTAGATTGGTATTCATGTTAAACAGGCAGGGCATGCAATTATGGACTTGAGAGAGTAGTCAAGACAGCGCAAACGCCAACTGGAAAAGTTGACATTAGGCTGGAAACGAAACAAGGCAAGTAGAGATATCGATCAAGACGGCATGCCTGTTGGTCTATGTGAGAGAATACTGCTCAGCATTTGATTTCTTCGTTGAGGTATACAATGATTGGCTCACACATGCACTACCACATGTCGCTATGCCAAGCCTCAACCATCAAGTGCATTTTTTCATTTCTGTGCTTGTACGAAACTGCACGATCTGAATTTTGGCATGTATTTACACCGTGATATAAAGATAGGTTTAATGATGGACCTCTGGTTAACTGTCTTATATGTTGCGTTAGTCTGCTTGTCATTGTTAGTTGGCCTTAGAAGTGTCCTGACTCACCTGCAGCCGTGTTTGCAAGCCCAGTCTTTCCAACAAGTATGCCCATAATGCGTGAGAAAAACAGGTTATTGAGTGAGTATTAAGAGGTTAAATTTATGTCTAGTGTAAGATGTTTCTGTTTTCTTCGGTTACACTTCTTGCTTAACAATTACTAGGCATTACTTTGGATTCTGCTAATGGGGTATGAGATATACATATATAAAGCATCAGCTGTTAGCACGCTTTCGACACTGCTACCTCATGAGGACGATAATGTCAAGTTGTGTTACATGGGGCGTGCTAAAAAAGTGAATTTTTTCTAATGTTTTTTTTTGTTTTTTCGGGTTACATTCTACAAAAACTGGCCCAAAGGCGGACGGAAGGCAGTACAGATAGACACACAGAAGCCATCGGGCTGCCTCACAAACTGTGACTGAGAATTCACCTGTAAGTAATTGCGAGTTCATGGTCTTGTCATGTTAGCCTGTGCAATGGTTTCTCGACCATTCGGAATATTTTCCAAAACTGGTGCTTTGATGCCTCAATGTGGGAAGAAGTTTTTCAGCACTATGTTGAAGGAAAGCTTTCTAATACAGAACATGTCTTTGAAACCATTGCTCAGAACTTGAGTTATGGGAGAAATAAAACGGACACATGATTGTTGCTTCATGCTTTTACCACAGTCTGTTTCTTTGTCAGTGCCCCGCCGCGGTGGTCTAGTGGTTAAGGTACTCGGCTGCTGACCCGCAGGTCACGGGTTCGAATCCCGGCGGCGGCGGCTGCATTTCCGATGGAGGCGGAAACGTTGTAGGCCCGTGTGCTCAGATTTCGGTGCACGTTAAAGAACCCCAGGTGGTCGAAATTTCCGGAGCCCTCCACTACGGCGTCTCTCATAATCATATGGTGGTTTTGGGACGTTAAACTACACATATCAATCAATGTTTCTTTGTCAGCAAAATTTCGTGGCTATGGTATCGAAGTAACTTTTGTTTCAATTTATGCTATTGTTGGTCGTGAGGAAACATGGCAAAATGATACTCGCCCATAACCCGCAGGTCGCGGGATTGAGTCCCAGCTGCAGCGCCTGCATTTCCGATGGAGGCGGAAATGTAGGTGGCCGAAATTTTCGGAGCCCTTCTCTACAGCGTCTCTCATAATCATATGGTGGTTTTGGGACGTTAAACCCCACATAACAATCAAATCAAACAAGGCAAAATGTCAACACTCTGTCACGCGCAGTGACAGAGTGTTGGATAGGTTGAGGCTACGGAAACGACAACGAAAACCTGGTCCTCTTATCTCACAGCTCCTGTTTCTCGCTCCAAAGGTGCCGTTACAATATGTTGCCTGCCGCACGTAGGCCTTTGCAGTGGTCTATAGTATGCTTTGTCTTGTGTAAGATTTCAGAATATAATCCAAAATTATTTTGTTCACCCCACATAACTCTTAATGGTGTTAGTAGTTACAGAAATTGTAACTGCCGCACCAAGGCACTAATTAAACGGAATTTGTTATGCGAATTATTTCGCAGTTATAATATAGTGCGTTTAACATTGAGTTCTTGTCTACTATAGAAATAGGTCTTCGTAGCATCCTGCTGCTTGTTCTGCATGTGATCTGTTCTTGTCCAGAAATACCGTCTGCTTTTGAGATTCATGAAATAGTGGTGTGAACAGAGGTGATGTATGTAGTAGACACCATAGTGGTTTAAACTCTGAACATTGCTGCTGCCACAATAGTTTTTTTTTACTTCCTTTTCAGACATACAGAAAGGAGCCAAGTGTAGCTGTTCATAGGCTATGCACACAGTTTCATAAGCGGGCTTTCCGCACTTTTTACAATTATGTTTCTGAATACATCTGCCAAAGTTGTATTCAAAGAAGCGTGCTGTAGTGTATTTCATTGTTCATTTGGCATGCTGCAGCAGGTATGACTCACACATCTGCAAGATAACGCAGCACAGTGCATACACACAAACTACCCCCACATACACTCTGGATTTGTGATTTAAGTGTAAATTGTTTACTCTGACTTTGCACAACAATTATTAACAAAATGGCATGAAAAGCTTGCCATATATGCAGGTAACGTTCTCAAGAAGTATATGCTGGCAATAAGTGTGCAAACTTCAACCAGCCCACTGGTCACATATTTTCTTGTAAACATTTATAGATAGAAGGCCGGGGTTGTTGGAAGCTGATACATGGTAATGAATGGACCGCGACTCCAGAAGTTTTCTGTTTTCTCACCTTTGTACACGAGGTGGCATAGTGAAATTCTTCAGGCTGCCGCTATGTCTTGTCACTCAGCAGCCTTCAACAAGCTCTGTGTCAAAACATGTTGCATGGAAAACTTCAGCAACATGTTCTGGTTCAAAGACTGAGAATCGGGAATGCTGCTATTGCCACCAGTGCAGCTTGTTCCAAGACTCAGTTTAACTGCTGGACAATAAGGCGTAGCTTCTATATAAACAGTGCTTGAAAGTGGCTTGGAGGCAGATTGGGGGGGGGGGGGACTTAAATTATTGGTTTATTTGTTGTCAACCATTAACTTCCAAGAACAACATGTTCACGGGGATGTATATTGCTAAAAAACTGGTCAACATTCACTGACTTGTTGCCAACATATGCTGCAACTGCCATCTGCTTAGGTGGGAACACTTCTATGCAACATCAGTAATTGCAAGTCCAAGTAAACTTTTTACGCTCATTATTTCACACGTAGTTTGAAACATCTTTGCATGTACAAATTGACTCAACAAAAAGAAATCTGCAAAATGGGGAAAGGGAAGATGTAATGTGAACTTAGCACGGGTATATTTCTGGCCGTGTTTGTGTAACATTTTCATAAAGTTCAGCGCAGCACTTCAAATCACAAGGATGGGACAGGCTTGCGTATGTCCGGCCTGTCCCATCTTAGTCAGTTCAGTGCGGCGATTAGCTCTATAAACATGTCTTGTGCTCTTTAAGTCTTTGTTTGCTGTACACTCCATTCTTGTGTTCTTTGTGTAGAGTTCAGTTCAACTGGACTTGTGTTCAATTTGGTATTCTGTACATAACAAAGAGGTACTTTAGGGAGCTAGCAACGAATGACTGCATTCATTCCACAAAGTCATGCTACCTGTGCAAAACATATAGTACGTTGTAATCATTCTATGAACCCTGTGTTCACTTGCAGATGAAGTTGTACCCAGAAACTAAATTAACAGCGTGTCCAGCCAACAAAACTCTCTGCCAAACAACACAAATAACTCCCATTCACAGGCATGCAGAACATAAGTGAAATCCTGCATTGCTATATTTTGCAAGCAGGCTGCATAGCACAGCTGTGGTGCGACATACTGTTGTGCTGAACAATACAGCAGACTGTTGTGTGGAACAATTCAAACTTTTTTGTGTTAGTCGCAATGACGTATAGAAGACGTGAGAACGCCTTGATCGACAGAAATTGTATTTTGATCAAGGAATATTATCAGTCGCCTTAATAGAGTGACAGATTCTGTGATAACTGTGCTGAAGCATGACTTCCGTGAAGAGGCTACGTCTTAAGGAGATTGTTGTATTCTTTCTCAAGGAATTGCTCGGCACCGCTATACCTTCAGCATTCTCCGTGAAGGAGGGTCCTCAGTAATCACAGTGTGTCCCTTTCAAGAAATGCTGTAAATATTGGAACTAAAAAACTAGAACCAGTCACAGTAGCGTTTTCTAGAGGCATTCAGTAATTTCTCGAGACCAGAACTTTTCCTCACATCTAAATTAAGCAACAGCGCTACAATTTCTTCTTCAGAAATTATCACATCACTTGCACGTTCTTCGTTAACTTGACTGTTCTCAACAGGACATTCACGTTTGGTGGAAAGCACAGTGACAAAGTAGTTGTTAAATGCCTCAGCCATTTTTACTTGTTCATTACAAACTACCCCACGAACTATTACACTTTCTATCTTTGATTTCTAAGGAGACAAGTACCTTCAAAACATTTTAGGATTGTGGACAATGCAATCAGCCAGCGTACTTGAAACGAAATCGGTTCGTGCATTTTTCAACTCTTTCCGCATTAATGTGTGAGCTGCAATGGCGGTGTTTTGAACATTGTCTATCTAATCAATCTTCGTTTCAGTTTCTCCGCAGCTAACAGCGAAGCGCGAGGTGTTCGTGTTAAGCAGCACTTGCAAGTCCGGTGTGACTGAAAATTGCAAACACGTTGCAGCCGTCGTACACCAGGTAAACAATGCCGACACGCCGTCGTGAACATAGTGTTTTCAAGCCTGGAGTAGGCTGTCATCTAAACCTGACACGTCAGTAAAGCAGCTGGTTGAGAAACTATGTGGAGGTATATGCCTAAAAACGTGGCTGATCCCCCAATATAAGATTTGATATAACACGAAAGTGAAATGCGTCTTTACGCAGGTAGTTGTAAACTTATTGTGCATTTCTTCAGCAGCAGCAACAAACTGCAAAGTCCCGTTAGGAACGGCATGCAGCTCGAAACTTGCAGCTCACACCTTAGCCAGGAAGTACACACCAAATTGGAAAACACGGGACGAGCGTGGTCTAACAACTGTCACAGCTCGACACTTATGCGCTCTGTTCAACAATACAGAAATAGGCATGATACGAGCACATCAGTATTGACAGGAAAATCGCCCACAACCGCCCCTGCCGTGGTAGTATAAGTGACTAAAGTACTCGGCTGCTGACCCGCACGTCACGCGATAAAATCCCGGCTGTAGCAGGTGCATTTTCGAAGGAGGTGACAATGCTGTAGGCTTATGTGCTCAGATTTGGGCCCTCGTTAAAGAACCCCCGGTGGTCAAAACTTCCAGAGCCCTCCCCGACAAAGAACAACAAGTGAGAAGGTAGGGAGTTTAACCAGGAACATGCCCAGTGTGCCACCTTACGCTGGTGAATTGGAACGGGGGGTATAAAGTTAAGAGAGGAAGAGGAAAGCGTAGAGACAAAAGGAATGTCAATCAATGGGCTGACGCGTATGCAGCGGTGGCACAACACAAAAGGTAAAGATGTTCATATAGGCCTGTAGTCCTCAAAAAGCACAAGACGGCTTGCATAATCATAAGGGGGTTTTTTGACGTTAAACCCCACAAATTTATCACGTGCGAACAACTGTCGCAGTTACTCTTGCGTCGTGTGTCAGGAGCGGGCTCATTTCGTGAACGCGGCCCTGGCAGCGCATGAAGTGGCCTTCGTCCTCTCCCGAATTACGAGTCTGATAAGTTCGCGTGCAGAAGAGACCACGCTTTGTGGAGGCGGCGCTTCGTGTGGTCGACTACCTTTAGGGCACTCCCAACGCGAGAGTGTCGCCACTAATAATAAAGACGCGCAAAAGTTGTGAAGCGCTGAGGATTGCCAAACGATGTACGGTATGTATATAAATGGCTTGCCGTTAGCAATCCACATAATTTGGGCTCCGCGGCGTAGTGGTCAGTGCATCCCGCTGGAAATCGAGAGATTGCTGGTACCATTTCGCGCGACAGACGCTTGCCTTCTGTTTTTAGATGAGAAACAGCTCTTTGACAAGCCTGTGACGCTGGCCCTCTATCCGCACCGCTCCCCTCGCCGCAAGTGCCCGAGTGGTCCCAAGTAGCGGACGTCCTCCTAACAGTGCGCGGTGACGTCTCTTTCCAGGCACTCGCTCGCTGGATTTCGTGCCGATCTGTTGTGCCCTTGCGATATCCGTCGACAGCGCAGCTCTGGCCAACTGGGCTCCCCCTACGCCATATCCTGACGCCGATCTCCGACGACAGCGCCGCTCTGGCCGACTGGGCTCGTCCTACGCCATATCCTGACGACGACATCAGCTCTCGCTGAGTGGTGTTCCGTTCTCGAACTACTGCAACCAGGTCCATCTTTCCTATCTCCTATTTACTTCTGTCACTCACTGTCCCCGCGCCTCGACCTCTCCATCCTCTCTCTATACATTTTTATGCATATCCTTTCAATTCCTTCTTAATTCCATCCCTTGTGAGCTATTGTTGAGGTATCTCACTCTGATGCAGACAGTTACGGGGCTCACTTTTCTCTTATTTCCCTTTAAGAATCACATAAGAAAGGGACGCGTGCGCGCCCGTCTCAGAGGCATAAGGTGTAGAACGCAAGGCGACAAATAGTGCCACCACCGTGTCATTTTAGCAAAGCGTTAGAAACACTCGCTTCTTCGTGCAAGCGTTGCATGGTCAGCACAGTGTGATAAGTGCTCCGATCCTTAGAATTACTTGTGCATGCCTTTTCTAGTAAAAGACGAACATGCAGAATATTTATGTGTTGTTATGGTGCCTCAGATATGTGCAATAATTGCCTTTCAATTGACAATCGCACACGTATGAACGCTGATCCTTGAGCAATATTGGAGGGCGCTGCGGATGGGGTCGGCCGTTCGGGTTATCGGCTGGTGCTGTTTGCGGTAACGGTGGACAGACACCTGGTTTGCGGTAACAGTGGACAAATAGACAATTGTACAGACAGACAGACAGACAGACAGACAGACAGACAGACAGACAGACAGACAGACAGATCAAAGTTTTTGCGTGGAAGGTCCCCAAGAAAGACTCTCGTTTTTAAAAAAAGCCTCTTTTCCTCACCTTCCACGTGCTTGCTGCGTGTCACCTCTCTTCGTTTCACCCTCTCCACCGCTCGCAACGCCCGAACCACGGAGAAAGAAGTATTTCAGGAGGAGAAACTCTCAGGCCAACTAGCAGGCGAGGGCGACGCGATAGTGTCATGGAGCAATGTGGTTTGCGCCAACGCGCGGCTTGTTGCCATCTTTTACATGCGCTTCTAAGGACGCGACGCATAAAAATTGTGATAACCCCTCGTGAACGGCAAAGTTTTTGAAATTTTATTGTGTAAAATGAATAACTAG